GGTAAGTTCAGCCCTAGCTACGTGTGCGAGATGTCTTTTTCCCTCTTTCTCCTCCTCGTGCACGTGTGTGTAGGGATGGAGGTTTCTCCTGTGCATACACGTCAAGGGGACTCGCTTAGGTAGGTAAGTATGCCTGTGTGTATGTATGCTTGTATCTTATGTTAGCTTATAGGGGGTGTGCGATTCGGAAGTGTCAGGTCGCTTCACCGATATAATTTACTGCCTTTAAAATGAATACTTAAGAAGGTGAAACTTTTATGATTACACGAGTAGAAAATCCCTGTCTTAGTAGAAGCAGTAAAATCATTGACAAATAGGAGAATGAACGCCGATACCGATCGGTCATTCCCGACAGATTTCTTGCTACACACATTAAATTCCCAATGTAAATTTGATTAATTCTTTAAGCGAGGAAAGAATTTATTAAGATTTCATTGATCTATAACCAGACCTGAACGTAACTTGTAGCAATGATTAATTTTTAATTCTTTGCAACAGTAGCATACCAATTGTTTCACGAATCATTTTTCATATTAATTAAAACGATCTGTTAAATTGTAAGATGCATGTTTCTTCAAGTGAAACGCGTTTCTTTAACGAAATTGGAGAGTCATTAGAACAAGTCATTGAAGCAATCAGTTTTGTGAGACAGTCGCGAGAGTCGTTCCTTAATTAACTGGGATGTGCATTAATCATAAATTGGACGACAAGGCTAATTTTCGGACACCCTGTGTGCATGTAACGCAGGCGCAGGCAGCTGTCACCTTACACCCATGGAGGAGGCATGGGCTGCGGCGGCCATTCTCAACTTATCTCTAGGATCTTTGTAAACATGTCGTGAAATCCGAGTATTCCGGCAGTGGCGTAGATCGCTAGGTGGAAGGACCCAGGTCGAAGCGTTCCCCATGGAAGAATTAAAATCTCCGGCTGGGTACGTTAGTACGTTCGAGACTGCAACATTGCGTGCACATGGTCTCCCTGGCAACGTCACTAAATGGAGCACGTCTTTGTGCCATGCTAATAAAAGGACCTCAGGAGCTGCCACCATCTTCTTTGTCTCTCTTATTGTTAGTCTTCCTGCTTGGGGCACTTATGGTGCCGCTATTCTTTGCTGCTTTAAAAATAATACTTTGATAGTTCTAGTAAAAATGTCTTTTATTTAAAAATTTTCTAAGGTTTTACAAACTACTTTTTATCCACTTTTGTCAAGCCTAATTCATCCATATTATTGTAAAAATAATTATTTAATACATGTGTAAATGTTATTCTTTAGTATAGTAGATTGGAACAAAGATCAAGAAGATTAGATATCTTAATAAAAATGAGTGTACCTATTTTCACGAAGGATTTTTCATTTTTTACTATTTAACAAATTACATATATCCTGCAAAGTACATGTACTTCTCTAAATCGCAATAACGATTGAATGTTAAAAAACCAATTGGCGTAAAGGAGTAGACAAATATTTCGCAATGTGTATTTATTATTACGTGACGTTTCAAGATTGTTGAAGTCTCGGAGCTTCGAGACTTGCCAGACAAGAACCGCAGCAACGTGTAACATAATACAAGTTGCACCAGCCAGACCTAAGCTCAGCCATGCGAACCAGCAAGCGGCTAAGGAACGCGACGTACGAATCAGATTACATCTTGCGTTGGCTGCTTATCTTTATTCTTCACTTTATCTCGCTTCAATTCACCTCATTTCGCTTCAGTGACAACCCTTCGATCGGCGTCTTATAACCGTCTTGCGATATAATGCTCGTCCTTGGAGAAAGCTCTCCAAACACTTTTTAAACGATCCATTTTTTACAGGCATTTAAAATTCAATCGTTCAGTTCACACGTATTTCACAGCCACGAGTAAAAACACAATTTTGTAATATTATAACGTTCGTCTTTTCTTTTACGCCGAACGATAAGGATAAAATTTGATAAAACGCTTGTCTTAGATATAATTTAAAAAAATTTTATTTCTTACCATACAAGCTTATTTTTACTGTTCTCATTCGATTTTCTGTGTTTAGAATCATTTTACTAAACTTACAATTAATTAACAGTTACTCATTGTCAGTTCCGCTGGTTTGTAGAAAGACTGGCGTTTGAGCACCTTGCGCAACCTGTATCAGCTGAGGTTGAGCTTGTATAGGGGCTGTTTGTATGATGATCGGTTGATTGCTTCCACCTTGAACCTGCATGCGAATCATCTGGAGTTGTTGAGGTGTTAACTGTATCTGAAATAACACGCGAATTTTTTAAAGATCAGGATGTAAATAATAAGACTGAAAATTTGTTCATAGAGTTAATGGTTAAGAAAAACACGTACTGGTATTTGCTGAATTTCTCCGCTAGGTGTTACGATTTGTTGTACAATTTGTATTCCCCCTGTTTGTGTAGTAGGCGTCTGTTGAGCCTGTTGTAATTGTATAATCTGCTGGCCGGATGTTTGTTGAGGAGTTTGCACCGTTACAGTCTGCGCTGTAGTTGCAGCGGTACTGTCCTGTAAACACGAAATGAGTTGATATATTTTAAGGGGGTATGAAGTCTAGACCAGGATCGATAAGAGTTCGAATGTTTTTAAAAGCCCGATAATAAGTTTGGCAAACCCTGGTCTAGCTCTTTGATGTCACTTTGCAATGTAATATATACCTGATCTACAGGACTGCACGTGATAGTTTGTATTTGTCCAGCAGAGGGTTGTACTATTTGTATAGGTTGCGCGGTTGTGTTACCACTCGTTACATTTTGGTTGGCAGAAGCCTGTTGCTGCGCTAATTGGAAGTAGTAATGTACTTGATCTGAGTTCATGGCTGTACGTACAGTGCTTTCAGTCTGCGCTTTACTTTGTTTCAATTCATCCCTAGGCACTATATCAATTAAAAAATCGAACTGATCATACTTGGTTATTGCCATTGCTATATCATTTCGTTGAAGAGTACGCCTTTTATTATCTTCCGTATGCACCCACGCCCTCAATGTTAACTCGTGTATAAAAATTTCTGCTGCTTTAGAGAAGAGCATAGGAGCTTCTGCGCTTATCATCTTCACGTCTCCATCTAATTTCATTATCTTTTTTATCCTGGCTAAAGGCAACGATTGTGTTTTTAGATCCATCTGTAAATTAAATGGGTATTGATAATGGCTATAGGATACATTCAATATCTATGAAACACACACAATGTGTCTGATCTGTTACTCACAGTAGTAATCTTTTTTATCTCCTCTGTAACTTTTGGCCAAAACTGAGTCAAGGCTTGTTGAGCTTCAGAAGACCCAGGTGAAGCGATTTGAAGATCTCCATTTGAGTCACCTTCAACTTCGCTATCCTGGTTACTGTATAGTAATAACAATGAATAATGCTTATTTGTATTAAAATGTTATTATTTATTCAATACACGTATTTTATGTTTTGTGAAATATTTCCAACCTCAATCTTCTTCCAGAGTATTAAAAATATACATAACCTAACAACTTAGATGTAAACAATCTTACTTACGCGTTTACGAAGAATACAGACATCTTTTAATAACTATTTTTAGATAGAATAATATAATATAATATTCTTTAATTTACAAAAATCATTTTGCACTTAAGTTTCCAAATGAATGCCACACGTTCCAGTTTGTTGTCAGTAAAATCAGTAAAATTCTGAACAAAGTAACAAAGCTATTGTTTGCATGGGTCGAGTCTAATGTATATCCATCTAACGGCGTGCGGCGGAATTATAAATACGAATACAGGAATACAGTCACCAAAAATTCAATAATACTGTGCATCCTCCATATATACACGTTTATATACACATAAACAAAATAGTAATACACGTTATTTACAATTTGACCAGAGATGACGAGGGAGATTGCTCATGAACCCGTTTTACCGTTATTTTAATGCGAACTCTAACGGCGGAAGTCCGGACCGTACATGTACTTCGAGAGGAGTAATGGTAGTGAGAATGAGAGAGTACATACTTTTTGATCGCATATCTCGTTCTCACTAACATTTCTCCCCTCGAAATATGTATACGATTAGGACTTCCGCCATTAGAGGCGGTGCTTCATAACGGTCAAAAATCGGCTCAGGTAAACGGGCTCATGAGCAACTCCTCATCTCTGACTTTACAATCATTTCACTCATGCATAGCTTTGTAGCTGCAGATACTTTGAAATACTGCATTTAATACTTCTTTGGCTGTATGTGTCTCAGAATTACTAATTCTAATGATACTTCCAAACTCTCGAATATAATGATCCAATTCCACGTCTTTTAATAGACTACTTGTTGCCATATATTTATTTGTCAATTGGGATAACTTCAATAAATCAGAACTGAACGCCTCGTCCAGATCGAATAGTTCCAATGCCGGCGGTGGTAATTCTTGGAAACTCGGTGGAAACACCTTCAACATTTTTGTATTGTAACTCTAATTCTAAACATTTGATTAATATACGCGAAGACAGCTAAATGGTACATCAAAATATTTGGCTTAAAACTGTTTCCAGTATTATACGTATTTCCTGAAATAGACAAAATTTTCAACTGAAAAGCTTTTTTATACAGTAAATAAACCTGATATTTAGATGATATCGTTTAGCTGGTTCACTCTGTATAAAAACATATTTTACCGAAGCTTGAGTAGCCGGTAATGGAGCTTCGAAGTGTGGTGGAATTAGAGTAAGTGGTTCATGCTTTATATCTAAAACTTCAAAGGCTTTTATACAGGCTGGTACCATATCCAAGTTTACTGAATAAAATTGATGTTTAAACAATTTGCTGTACTCATGAGGATTGTCCATTATATCCATATCTTGAGTACACACTTTTGGATTGTCTGCTTGCTGTGTTATATCTGGGATAAAATTGTACTCCCAAAACTATATAAATGATATTATTAGTAATAATAAATTAAATGTAAACAGTTAATATGACTCGGAAACTTACATCAACATCGTCGAAGTGAGATTCTTTGATCACAAGATCTTTGGATTCGAAAAAGTCAAAAATCATTTCCCTTAAAGAATCATTCTTTTCTTTCTCAATATACATGTCTGTTAACATTCTCGATGAACCTAAGACAAGCAATTTTCCGCTATTGTCTTGATTGCAATGGTAAGCACAAATTGGTCTGTTTATTGGAATGGCAATCGAGCCAGTGGATAATGCAACTATCGATGGTTGTGCCACATTTAAAGTTGCACCATACGGATATAAAAAATTAATCTCTCTGAAACAAATTAAAAATCGCAATGCTACTTTCATCCAACAATTAATTCAATTTCATAGTTAAGCTGTTTACGTGTATTCATCGCGATTTCTCGAGAAGATTGATTTATTTGACATCCCTTGAGAAATTAAACACTCCTTTGGATGCATTGTCTGACTATAACTCATGCGTATTACACTATCTAAAAATGAAATAAGTAATCGAAGTATAATATTTCATGTCATTTCCGTTTAAAAAATTGTACAATATAGATATACCATTGTTGACCATTATACCAAACTCTTCTAATAAAAAGTTGACGTTAGTATTTGATTTTTTCTCGCCACCTTCACCAAGCATAACTAAAACGTGTCCACCAGAATTTAAGAACGTTCTAATAGCGTTCATTTCTAATTCTGTGAATCTATTTTGTGGACCAGGCAATACCAATACTTTCCCCGTTGATAACGATTTCTCCGTCAATACATCGTTATTTCTAAAGTATAATCATTGCATTATGGACCAAATTACATTACAAGAATTTTTTATTGAATTAATACGGCATTACTCGACGAA